ATTAGTGATCTTAGGTTTTCAAGTAATATTACATTAGGAAATTGATATGAGAAATTCGATATATGAAATTATAATACCCAGGATAACCTTCTGGACGCATTTGGACGCAATGTGCCAAAAAGCCCATTTCTCTACTACTAGTATATATTGCTATAGATAAAAGATAACGGTAAGATAATCAATTTTATTTATAATATTTAATCAGAACGTTTGCATATTTTTTATCGTTATGCTAAATTTATAATTATAAAATATTTAGGTTTTGAAATTGTATGCATGATGCATCTTATTAGTAAAGTTCAAACTGCGATACATTTCAGAAATGTATGTTACACTAAAAATTTTTAATTATTATCGTTATCGTTATGGAGTATAATAAAATTATAATATGTATATAGTAAGTTTCTTTAATGTTAACGTTAATGATGATATGAAAATTACTTCATTTATTATCATTATTTAATAATACTGATACAAAATTTTAAATCTGATTATCTATTATTATCGTTATTAACTCAAAATATAGGAATTTAAATAAGGATAGATTTAAAATCCAATCATATCAACTAATAGATAGTTAAAGTTTTTTCAATTCATTGGCTAATTACGGGTTCTTGTGTAGTTTCGACAACTAGAATAGCTAGTGAACAAATTTTTCAGAGCAAATAATTCATCAAAGACAATTCTAGATGTTGCTCTACTAATTGAACTTCAAAATCTTTGTATGTTGCTGAAAATTCTTTTATTATAGTCAAAAATGCGACCAATGCTGTTGTCGAGTAGTATTGTGTTATAATGGCGTCAAAGTTCCAACTTTTCTGTGGTTCTTCAAAGAAAATTGACGCGTAAATTTTTAGCATCTCGAAGTTTGGATAAATTTTCTAAGAAGTGTATGTATCTAGATCATTATTCATGCTCGAAGAAAATATGCGTGAAACTTCTAAAGAGAATTCGAAAGAGGAAGAGCCTGTGTTATTGAAAAATTATATGGAAAAAGCATTATCAAACTTATTATTTATCGGATATGTAGGTTAGTATTAGAATTTAAATTCCATTTATTATTCTTTGATCGTTATATATGAAGGAATGTTTTACGATTATTATTTCAATTTGTAAATAGATGCACTATATATGGAAATATCCTATGAATATCATTCAGAGAAACGGACATCATTTATTTCTGTATATACCGATACTAATTTACTTTTTATATGAAAAGTTTTTTGACAGGAATGGTAATTCTTTTTTTCCTTGAACAATTACCATCACAACTGGTATTATTAAACCACTGAGAGCAATCCTGGAACTTACTGATCAGATAAATATGAAAATGAAGCTTAAGAACAAAGACGGGCATGATATTTATTATAGGTGATTGATACAAATAAGGAATAATATGCAAAGGTATTTATTTTACTTATATTTAATATATCTTTTGTATTATTTTATTATCGTTATCGTTATTTTTTCCAATTTACATTTATTATTTATATAGGGAAATCAGAAGAATATGAACATGCTTATTTGAAACAGATAAGCGTTGATAGATGTATCAGGTCATAAAAATTATGAATTACGCGCTTCTTAAGCAGATATTAGAATATTGGTACAATAATTATTTTTATTGATCTATAGCGATAGCTAGCGATAGCGATATTAAAAGATTTCCAAAACTTGACATGATCAGCACAATATATAAAAAAACTAAATAAGGCGCAACTTTTTTTTTTAATTTTTTTTAGCTTTGTTAACATTAATAAAAATATACTTATAAGCAGTTTCTTTACAAAAAGTTTATAGTAGTTGTAATCCTTAACGTTAAATAATCTTTATCAAAAAAGTTTTTTTTAAAAAAAAAAAAATGTCTTTGAAAAATGAAAGTACCTGTTGTTGGGAAACAAGAACTCTTGCAGACTATATAAATAGTTGCGAATTTGAATGTAATGATCCTGATAAGGATAACATCTTACTTGAGAACGATAATTATAGTTTTATAACTGACAATACTTGTAAAATTCTGGCAACACCTTCTACAAATGATTGCAATAATGAAGATACTCATGAATTTTTATTTGATTATAAAGCATTTCAAAATGCTAAAGAAAGAGCTAGTTTAGATGAATGTAATGAAGTTAATATCGATATAATATGGGAGGACATGGACTCAATTGAAAAAGATTCTATTGAAAAAAGTTCAACAATTAGTTCTGATGAAAACTATCTAATAAGTGACATTGAGTGTACAAATCTTGTTCTATGTGTATTGATAGATATTTTTGATGGACAAATAAAACGTTGTCCAAATTATGCAAAGCCAAGACATACTCTTTATCCTCTTCGACAATTAGTAGAAACGTGAGAAGTTGATGGAACTGTGATTAGTCAAACCAATCCTGAAACTATGTTACACACTTTAGGTATCTGTATGTCACATTTTACATTTGATCAAAATCGATTACATAAAAAAATCAAAAACAAATATAATCAGTAGAAGAAAGTTATATTTATCAACGTCGATATCTCTTTTGCCATAAAGATAAATATTTTTTTAGTCGCGGTAAGAGTTGTATAGAGCATCCTGTGAATATTATAGACCAAAATATACAAGTACCTTGTGTAGGATTCCAAGTGTGTTCAGCTTTTAATTATGACAATAGAATTGCTAAAAAAAATAACGATAATACAAACCAAGCAGCACGTTATATATGTTCAGTATGTTTTCAAACAGAAGGTGGTCATTTTTTGAGCGAAAAGGAAGTGGTGCAAAGGTTTTTTCCTGTCAGCAAGAACATAATCATGATACTATTGATGCTCTTAAATTATTAGGACGATGAATTTCAAATGTAGCTGAATCAGATGACAATAAAATGAAAAACATTTTATTAACAGAAATAAGTGCAGTAATTAGTACAGTTATTAAAAAAGTAAAGCAAAAAGATGATAGTGCTAAAAAGTGACTCCAAGTTTATTGTTAATTAAAACTACATTACATTTAGCAAAAATAAATTTAAAACTATTTAATGATGAATATTCAATTATTAATTTATTGAAAGAGTAACTAAAAAAAATTGGAGAAACTTTTGGAATATGTACATGGAAATCACGTTCAGAAGTTCGTGAAAAAAAAAGGAACTTGAAGTACCACAATCACTTGAGGAATATCAAAGTGGTTTTCCAGTAATTTTAAAAGAATTTTTTGATGGATTTATAACTTGTTTACAAAAAAAAATATGATGTTGTAGAAAAAAAATGAAAGCAAAGAGGACAACAACCAAAAAAATTTAATAAAACTCGTTCAACAAAAATATCAGTTTTTATTATTTCAATGATTTTATCAATTGCATTTCCAGGAGTTGATGTATGGCTTATTCATATTATGAGTTCCTTATGTCAAAAACCAAATCTGTTAAGTTCTCTTTACATAATTTTATATACAGCAAGTGTAGTTTCTCATACTCAACGTCATGAAAGAAGATTAGAAAAAACAAGAATGGGAAAAATTAAATCCGAAGACAGATTACAGCAAGATAAAAATATATGAAATGTTTGTGTTATTGACAATATAGACTTTAAAGAACGATCATTTGCCCATGGTAATATATATAATGTGACTCAAGCAACAGCACATGTAACATTACGAATGGTTTTTCAATTTAAATTACCAGTTCCTATTCAGTCAATTATAACAGAGATCAGTTATATTGAAAAAAAACCATTTAAAGTTGGTTCCTCACAATTTGTAGAAAATGAAATTCAAAACTTTGAAAATAAAATTGGCAATTTATTAAAAATTTATGAAATGAACTTCGATGTGAATACAGTTTATCAAGAATTAGTTAAAGATGTTGAATTAGAATGTAAAATATTACCACCCAATGTAATTATTTTGAAACCTGGTGAAAATCCATGTAATAATGAGGCTGTACATAATGCGTGTGGCATGTATTTTAAAGATGTTTTTCCAAAAAATGGTGACTATAAAAATATCGATGTGGCTTGTGACAAAGCGATCTTTCGTTGATTAATTTCTTATTAAGAGCAAAGACCTGAATTGAGACTTTTACTTGATGCATGACACACAAGTAAAGAAATGTGTACTACTTTGATCACTATTTTTTCAGGATATGGAATTTTTAATTTAGCGGCTTGTATTGGTATTCGCTATATAGACAAATTAGAGAAGATGGTAGATTATCAAGCGACATGCCGTGTCTTAGAATTAATATGGGTAGCAGTTGGAATTTCTTTGAATCAAAATTTTGAAATACAAAAATCAAACATTTAATGACATTATTCAAAGTGATAATAACTATATAATGAAAGTATGGTATTTATATTTTTATTGGTATGGGTATTAGATAGGGCATAAAATAGGAATTCGATATGGTCATTACGATATGCAATTTGAAAATTTGATTGCATTTGCCCCACTTTTTCCTATAGCAGGAAAAAGTAACTATGCAAGATCGGTTACTCATTTTTTACATATCATTTTCGAAAACCCATCTTTACAATTATTACTTCATCATGCATGTTCTATCAATCTTACTAGTCCAGATCATTTTTTTGCTTTTGATGAAGCATTGGAAAGATTTGGCATAAAGTATATAAAACAAAATATTGGAAAAAATCCTGGTAATGGAGAAGATTTGAAACAACAAATAAGTTCTGTACAATCAGAACGAGAAAGGTTAGACATACTCTTAAGTGAATATGTTGGAGAAGATATTTTAATTCAAAATAATCATGCTATAAAGTCTCGTAAAGAAGCTCTTTAGAATTTGGTTAATCAACTTACTAGTACTTTTAATCTTACGGATTCATCTACTCACGAAATATTTAAAGAAATAATTGAAAATAATAAAGATGGATTTAATAATTTATTTACTTGCTATGAAATTGGAGTTGAATGATTTAACAATATCTGTGTTCAAGAAATTAAAAAAAGTATCCCTTATAACACAAAAGGATGACATATAAAAAATATAAAGACAATTACAATTGAACAACAAAAAAAGATAGAAAAAAATCGTAAAGAATTAGAAAAAACAACTAAAAAAATAATAAAATAATGCAGCAAAGTATAGTGCTTAATACAGAAAAGCAAATCCAAATTATACATGATGAAATAAATAATGATAATGATAATAATAACGGTAAGTATAGATAATGATAATGTTTAAATATATTTTTTACATTAAATAATAACGATAACAATAATAATAAAATATTATTTACTATTACAACCTTATCGTTATAACGATAACATTAATGTTAAAGTTCCAATTCCTAAACGATGATATAGATCTTTAACTAATTCAGAACAAAGTATCTTTTTAAGATTACAACAAACATCTGAATTATCGATAAAAAAAACAAAAGAAATATTTATTGAAATCTGTTCTTTACCAGATAGCAAACCTGAAGATTGGGATATGAAAAGAATTCGAGAAATTTGGTTAAGATTCAGAAGACAAATTAAAAGACAGAAACAAAATGCATAACGATAACGATAAATAAATAAATACTTACCATTTTTACCTTAATGCTAATATTAACGTTAACATTAATATTAATGTTAACGTTAAATATAATTTCTTTTTCATATTTACTGTTACCGTTACATATTTTGAAAACATTTGTAATAATAAAAATTAGTTATATAAAAAGGATCTTGTATAAACTGCTTATTTTTGTTACCTATTTAAAACTATCATATAAAAGTAAAATATAGTTCAAAGAAATATAAATTCTTTAAATAATGATAATTGAAACTTAGTGAGTAAATATTTGACTTTAAAAGTTATTTTTTTTTAGTTAGAAAGTAAAATATATTCAATCGTTGTGACATGATAAAAACGTAATCAATATTTTTATACTATTTATTTGCAGATCAAAAGACATGTCCAGTGACCGCTATCTATTAAATGCAAATTAAAATATTAATTTATTAATTTGATTTTAAAAATTTTAGATACTTATTAAATGTTACTTAATTATAATATTTATCAACTAATTTCATTACTTTAAACTAATTTAATTAATTTTGAATTTTGAATTTTAATTAAATTTATTAATTTTATTATGTATTTTATTATATAATTTGATTTTTTTTAAAATTTAATTTAAATAAGTTTTAGTATCTTGAATAATATTATTACTTTTAAATAATTTTCTAAAGTAAAATGAAGGATTATATATATTTATGTTAAGAGATTTAATAATATAATTATATAAGGATATCTATTTATCTATTCACTTAATAATTGAATTAATATTAAATAGCCATATAATTATACAAAAATAATTAATAGTGTGAATTTTTTTAGTAAAATTATTTTAGGCTTAATAATTTATTTTCATTTCCTAATTTATTATATTCTTATTATTAAGATTATTTATTTAAATTCATTTTTGATTTAGCAAAATATTTAAATTTTAGTTTGTTAACTTTTATTAAGATTTTGATATAATTTTACTTTTCATAAGTTTTTATTTTTTTTTAAGTTTTACAGATTTTTAATAAAATTTTAATTTTATCATTTAGATGATTTGCAAAACTTTTAGTTTTATTTAGCAATTCTACTTATTATAATTTTAATATATTTTAAGTTTTATTATTATTAAAAAATTTTATTTTCTTATATTTATATTTAACATGATTTTATAGATATATGCAAACTGTATATTTAGATTTTGTAATAATCTTTAATAATTATTTATAAATTAAGAATAATTCTTATAATATAAGCTATATATAAGATTACTTTATCTTTTATTAATTTGATAATAAATACTAATAAAATTTTAGATTTATATTAAATTAATTAAGTTTAAATATATGAGAAGATTATTTATTAAATAATTAGATTTTAAGAACTTTTAATTAAAATTAAAATTTTATTACATTTTTTTTTTAAAAAAATATTTATAAATTTTATCTCTTTTTTTTTTAGAATATTAATTTATTTATTTAAATATTTAATACTATAATAATATTAAAAAAACTTTGTTGTAATTATTTTTATGATCCTAATATAAAATTCTAAAATTCAGAGTTCTAATAATACATTATTCTAATATTTTAATTTCTAAAATATTATATCTTGAATTAATAAAAGTATTAATTATTAATTCTTGAATTAAGGTAATATTTTTTTAGTTTTTTTAATATTTTTACTTTTTTAGAATATCTAATACTTTTACTTTTATTTAAATAAATTCTATTCAAGAATTTTATCATAAATAGTATAATTAATAGCTGCATATATAACAAGACAATCCCAGTAAAATACATAATACAAATTAAAACTATATAGGTATATTATTTGAAAAATTTCTTTGTTATATATAGAACAAGGATCTGGAATTTAATTTTCAATTCTTTTAATAAGTTTATTAAGAACTTGTTTTAAATAGAAAAGTATAAATTTTGTAATAATTTTCATTTTATCAATATTTTATAAAATGCCAAAATAATATAATAAAAAAAAAACTTATTATTTATATAATAAAAAAGAATTTGTTTCTTTTTAAAAAACAGAACTGAATAAAATTATTTCTAATAATTAATGATAATGGAAAAATAAACAATGAAGATTATTGTGATAAGTAATAATAATAATAACAATAAATAAAAATAAATGATAATAGATAAAAAAAGAAAATTTACACCTTTTTTCTATTGGATCTACTTTTAATCTAATCAAAAAGCAAGTTTTGCTTTTATAAAAAAGATAAATTTTAATTAAAATAAACTTTTTTATATTATTTCATCTAATAATTATAAAATTTCATATTAGATCATTATTATATAACTTATTTTTTTAATTATTAGTATATGAATTTTTATTAGTTTCTAATTATAAAAACATTCAATTGTTTATTTTATAAGTAGAAGTTCTATAGTCTAAATGATAAATAAAAAAATTATTTTATTATAATTAGATTACATTATATTTTAATAAATTTATTATTATTAGTTTTTCATTATGTGTTTTTATCTAAAATTTCTAAGTGTTATTACCTTCTTTTATTTTAATATAATTAAACAGTTAAGATTTCTTTACTATAAGAAATATTTATTAATGTTCTATTTTTTTGTTGGTTGAACTTTAAATTCTTAAATTTTCAAATGAGATAAGGCCTAATAGAAAATTTATTTTTTAATTAAAAAAATTAATATTAACTTACCTTGTAAATTTAATCTAGAATTCTTCAAATATTATAGTTCTTATAAAAGGAAAATAAAATGCATTAAATTTTTTTTATAAAATAAAAAAGAAAAAATAAACTAATTAATACTTATTTTTTATAGGTTCTAAAGTTTTTTTAAGTCTTAGAATCAGAGATAAGTTCTTATAAAAAGAGGAGAGGTTATATTAGAATTTTTTTTTAAAAAATAAAAAGGAAAAAATCTAATTAATTTTTACTTTTTATAAATTCTGAAATTTTTCAAAACTTTAGAATCAAAGGTAAATTCTTATGGAAGAAAGAAAGGTATGATATTTTTTTTATAAAAAAATAAAAAAATAAGAAAATTAATATATACTTACTTTTTTGTAGATTTGAAATTCTTTAAGTCTTGAAATCAGAAGTAAATTTTTATAAAGAGAGAAGAGAGTTGCATTAAAAATTTTTTTAAAAAGAAAAAAAATAACTAATTAATGTTTACCTTTTATAGGTTTTGAAATTTTTTTAAACCTTAGAATCAGAAGTAAATTTTTATAGAAAAAAGGAAGTGAAAGATTTTTTCTTAAAAAAAAAAAAAATTAAAAATAAAAAGAGAAAAATCAATTAATATTTATTTTATATAGGCTTTAAAGTTTCTTCAAACCTTAGAATTTAAAGAAAAGTTCCTATGAAGAAAAGGGTGATGAGAGATTTTTTTTAAAAAAAAATAAATTCTAATTAATGTTTATTTTTGTTAGTTTTAAAGTTCTTCAAGTCTTAGAATTGAAGATAAATTTTTATGAAAGGAGGAAAGAATGTGAGATTTTTTTTATAAAAAATAAAAATAAGAAAACTAACTAACACTTATCTTTTTGTAGATTCTGAAGTTTTTTAAGCTTTAAAATTAGAAGTAAGTTTCTATAAAAAAAGAAGATGTGTTAAAATTTTTTCTATAAAAAAAAAACTAATATATATTTATCCTTTATAGTTTTTGAAATCTTAAAGCTGTAGAATCTTTAGATTAGAAATAAGTTTTATTATAAAAATTTTTTAATTAAATTATTTTTTTTTAATTTTAAAAAAAAAAATATTAAAATTAGCTTACTTTGTAGATTGATCTAAAATCTTTAAATTCTGAAATACTTAGATTAGAAAAGTAAAAATTTTCTAATTAAAATTTTTTAATTATATATTAAAATATCATTATTGTCTAAAATAAAAATTAATAAAATTTTAATTATATATCTGAATTAAGATGAAGTTAGATGTTTTATTATTAATGAAACTAATGAAAGGAAGATTTTGTTAATATTTCTTTTATTTTGTAAATTGAGCTTTTGAAAAATTTTTTTATTTATATATATTTTTTGATAACTTTTTATTTTTATTTAATTTAATAAAATTTATTATATATGTACTTTTTTATAATAATTTATAATTTATATTAAAATTATAAATTATGTATTTACAGTTAACTATTGATATAGCAAAATTTTGATATAACGAATTTTTTGAATAAATATAATAAAAATACTCTTATTATAATAATTCAAGATTTTTAACAGTTCAATATTTTAGGATTATAACATTTTAAGAATTAGAATATCAAAAAAATATACTATCAGAATTTTGAATTTTGAGATTTTTAACTAATCCTTTTTTGATATTATAAATTAATAAAAAATTTATTTAATAAAAATAATTTAAAATATAATAACTTTTATTATATTATTTTTTATATTTCATAAATTTTTCTTTAAATAGTAAAAGAATATACTGAAGGAAGAAAAAAATATTGCACAGTTTTATTTTAGCAATAAAATTTTTTTTATTAGGATAGCAGTCAGTTTTTTTTATATTTATAAATAATACATCAATATTTAATATGTCCTCCTTTAGCATCAATCATTGCCTAAATTCTATTTGGCATTAATCGCATCAAGTTACAATACACTTTTTGTAATATTACTTTCTAAACCTCTTTTACCATCTTTTCAAGTTCATGAATGCTTGATGGCTGAGGATTGTATTTTCAAATTTTTATTTCAACTACAGCCCACAGGTTCTCAATTAGGTTGAGATCAAAACTTTGAGCAGGCTATAAAAACACCTCTACATTTGAGAATGCAAAAATTCTCATACAACCTTCGATATATGAACTGGTGCATTGTCTTTTTGAAAAATGAATTTTTTTTTAATTTTCTAGGAAAATGCTTTGAGTGTAAAAATTGCATAAATGAAAAGCATCTCTTTGTATACATTTCTAATTACTAAACCTTCAAGTGGAATAATAGAACCTAATTTTAAAAAGGAAAAATATATTCAAAATATT